CGCTTTAGATTGGGTGGAATTATCATCGCCCCCAAAATCTAAAAGCGTCTTTAATATTGAAAAGACCGAGAGGTCAACAGAATACTTTATGGTGCAAAACAACAAAAATCTTTCTCGGAAAATAAATTACATCAATCCCGTCGCTCTTTTTAGAAGCTCCACTGAAATCTTCCAAGAGAGAACCCTCCTCAGCTACAAAAGTCAATAAAATTACGAATAAATATGTCTGTCCATTTTAAATAATAATGAATAAATGATGAGTAGATCATACTTTGTGAACGACTTTGTTCTTCTTTAATTTCTGGAATTGGCATCCTTTCCAGAATCGCGGGTCGTATGTTTTCAAATTTAAACAAGTTACTGTATTCAATCGCACGTTGTTGTATCTCTACTTCAATGCTGGTGTTGTATTTTTCAAGAGTATTTTTAATATGTTGAATTACAGGCGCTAATGTAAAACGTGATGCCAGTTTCATAAGCGCGGTAAGAACGTATTCTCGAGTTAATTGGTTAGCATAGGGTCCCGCAAGGATAGAATCCATAAGATCAATGACATCTTGCTCTGTAACCTGAAATTTATTCTCGTTATAATGACTTTTCTTGATTTATAGTATAACACGGTTCCTCCTTTTTACCTCTTTGACAAGTTCCTCTTCTTCAAAACTGCCACCTTTTATTAGTATGTCACCATACTCACCGATTACCCACACGCCAGCCAATGTTAACGATTCCTGTGAAGTATATATTATAATAAGTATTTTTGGTTGTAATGCTTTAAAAACTTACGGTATATTTTTATTTGAATATATACCTGAGAAATATCTGCCTTTAATGCAGCATATAATTTTTGTGTCGTGTAGGCGTTTAATTCCGATGTTTGGGCAACTAGCCGAATGAAATTTGACAATATTTCTTCACGAACATAATTACCAGCCTATCCAAGATCAAATCTTAATAAATCAGTGCAAAAAGAATTCATTTTTATTGTGATGAGACCAACCAGTTTAAGGACGCGCAATACTGTGTCTATATGCCATCGTTTGTTGGGAGCAAATCTACAAAAAAAAATTTTTTTAACCTTTAAATTTTCGGAATCAAGATAGTTATACCTAAGTTAAATATTGTTCAAAAATTTACCTGTCAGCAGCCAAACAGATTTTTGTTGTCATTCCTTGTTTAAATTCGTTGTCAGCTACCTCTAAAAATGCTAATAGTTCACGCGTCAACACTCTAACATTGGACGCGTTAATTAACGCAAACGAAAGCTCTAGTGCACGTCGACGGATAGAAATATCTCCATCTCGTAGACAATCAAGAATAATATTTCTATGTCGTTGAACCGCATT